CAATTAACTAAAAGTAATGATGAGTTCAAACATCTGTTAAGATTACAAGTTTTAAGTAAATTGCTTCTATTAATTCCTTTGTACTAAAATAATATTTGTTTACCAAAAAAAGCTCATAGCCACTCTTATTCCCAATATGCGAAAAAGATAATGAAATAATTGAAATAAATGTGTTTTAACTGTAAAAAGACTCACAAGAGTTGATTTCCTATTGATATGGAATGCAAAGTTGATTATTTGTTTTTCAAAGTATTCTACAACTTCAATACATAAATATTTCATACTCAAAATAGTTCACATGCAAAGCATGTGTGCACCCACTAGTTTATCTAATAACATGAAAGTAGTAAAAAATAAATGTTTCAGGAAGAAATCCAGTTCTTCTTTTGCGTTATTTTCTTCTACGTTTCTTGTTTCATGTTTTTTCATGTCTTATCCCGTATAATCTTGAATATATTTATGGTTAGTGGTTCCCAATTGTCCTACCCAAGCCATAATGTGCAATTTAAGACACTTCCCTAATAAATCGATGGCCCTACATGCTACAAGTCAATTTTACCAAAAAAAAAACTTGGCCTTTCAAGTCAATTTTGCAAGACGCGAATGAATGACATTTATACGCCCACTTAGCGAACTAACAAAGAAATTAGCATTAAGAGTCATTGTCCTCAAGACATAGGCATTTCATCAGAAAAAAATAGATGGACAAGGGGAATCATTGAGTAGCTCCAGAGAAGATAACAGCTCCTATGCCTCACAAAATAGTTCAAACTGGTAATGAAGATAAACTTCTTTAAGACGAGAACATTTTTCAATTGCAGCAATTGAGCAAATGGCTGCTCTTTTATATTTCAAATGACAGAACGAATGATATAAAGCATTTTCAGAAGGAGTATCTCCCATTACAACTCTTTCTGAATCAAATCCTAGATCAATAACCAATTGTTAGGAAAAAAATTCCCTGATCAATCACGAAGAATGACCACTAAAAGATTGGAAAATAAAGAACCACTTACCATTACTTTTTAACCAATGTGAATTTCTCTCTGTTGGAGTATAGATAGTCTAGGTTTATTAGGATTTCTTTTCCTAGGTTTATTAGGATTTCTTTTCCCTTTTTTACCCTTACTATGATTTTTATATTTTGCCTATATATACGGGGTTTTACTCTTAATTTGAGTATCTCCTTTTACTCACAATTATTTCAAGTTGGTATCAGAGCAAGGTTAGGGTTTGGGGTAGGGTTAGTGTATGGCTCTACCAGCCATACCGCCGAAACCACCCTGGCCATCAGCTGCCCAGCGAAACCGACAAAACTAGTCCACCTACTGCCCATACCAGGCCACACCGACAGCCCCAAAATCCATACACCGACGGCCCAGGCAACAAACAGTCTTCCACCGACTGCCCATCCTC